CGGTCTGCGGTTGCGGAAAATCCGATTATATGAGTTTGTCGTATTAAAATAAATAAATAAATAAATAAACCCAAACAAAAAACCCCCCCAAAACCCTCCCAAGATGCGGAGAGGGTTGGAGGCGAAGGCTGCCGCCCCGCACGTGTGCTGGTGCACAAGCGTGTCCCCCTCATCCCCCCGGCCGTCTCGTTTTGCTGTCACAGCACATAACCCTCCAGTGCAGAATCTGCCAGAGGCGCAGGGTAACTTTGTACCTGCAGCCAGCGCCAGTTGTTCTGGCCTTACACTTCTGTGACTTCAAAGCCAAGTCGTTTGGGTAGAGTAGGAAAAACATCTCTAACTCCAGCTGTTATTGTTGTCTCACAATTTTAGGAGAGTGCAGAAATGTCTCCCTTCGAAAATAAAGGACTGATACTGGGCATAATGGCAGGGACTGCTGGAATAAGCCTGATGCTGATTTGGTACCATAAGAGCCGAAAAGCCGGCGCAGCTGTGCATATACCTGCGTTCCTAGATGTAGGTAGCAGGCTTAATTCTGTGGGCTTGCAAAACGAAGCTCCTAATGATCAAGCAGTAGTGATGGTTTTACACGGAAGGCAACTGCAGATCCTGGAAAAACTGAATGGTTTGCTAGTAAGTGTGGATGAACTGAAGAGAGAGGTGGAATTTCTGAAAGAAGCTATTCCAAAGCTTGAAGAGCTTGTTCGAAATGAGCTTCAGTGGAAGGGAGACGTTCAGAGAGTTAGTCCATCACACAGAGCAACGAAGCGCAGAAAAGCTGAGACAGCTTCTGGTGCAATAGAAACCACCAGCTCTGAGGAGGCCGAAAGTGAAGGAGGGTGAGTCAATAATGTTTTGTATATACTGCAGTACACATAGAGTGCAAATTGCATCATTGCCCATGTTAAGCTTTGTATTGTTAACAGGAGCCCTTTTAAAGTTTTATGTGTATTTTATATTTCTCTGTATTCAGGGGAAAAAAAAATCAGATTAGTAATTTTTAGATCAGAGAAAACTCTAAGTGACTATCTCTGAATTGGCACCATGGCTGAAGTTGGCTTAATGCCAAACATAATACAGATTTTTAAAGGTGCATTAAGTAACAACCTGATGCAGTATTGCTACATAGCTATGCAATGAGAGTCAAAGTTCAGAATAATGGTGTAATTTTAAAATCACATCATTATTAAGTGCTTCTTGAAAGCGCTTCTAGTAAGAAGTAGTCTTGTGTATTTGACAGAGTTTGTTCAAACTGTACAAATGCTCTTCTGCTTTTGTGATAGTTGTCTTCTATGGGCCTTAAAGTTGAGTTATTACAGTGTTCTGCCTAAAGGTATTACATGCTGTGAAAGCTATGTCCAAATGCAACATATATACAAATGGCAGTATGTTTAATTATATTTGCTGTTGTATAGACTTTTTGGTAGCTTAAAAAATAATCATGAGGGATTTAGGGTACTGACTCGGTAAGGTAGAAAATGCCTAGTTTTGATCACATCTAGTAGTACTGTTGTGGTTAATGGGATCTTTTATACATGTGAGTTGAGACCCATGCTGAAGGATCAGATGTACCTGGAGTCCAGGAGAAGGACTATATTTTTGCCTTTTTATATGTTAACCTAATATACCCTCCATATACCTATAGTAATGTAAAAATGGTGATGACATTACTTTCCTGGAATTGCAACTTTGTTTTGATATAGTCAGATTAGATACTTATATGCAATTTAGTAAGGGTATGTTTATAGCAACTGAGTTTTTTCAGCCATCTCCTCAGTGTGTTATACATATCTGTGTCAGCAGTATTGTCTCTACATTGCCTGTCTTAAGTCACTTTTTTCTTTAAAGATAATTAATATAACTGTAATATTCTGAAGAAAGCAACGTGCTGAGTGTGATCATTAATGGAATTCTACTTTTAAGAGTTCCTCCAAATTTATTTTCAGTTCCTGTGGGCAGAATTTCTTGTTGTGTTACATCCCAGCCCACATTCTTCATGAGTCTTATATTTTGATACCATATTTTGAAACCTGTCAGTTCTATTATGAACCAGTTCTTTATTTTAAGTATTCAGTATTGGCAGGGGGATTCAAAGATATTCCTTCTTCATATGTTGAAGAAGCATTTCAGTTCTATTAGTTTCTCAGGTTGTTTTATCTATTAGTTGGTTTGCAGAGGCCTCTATGTTGTGCATAAAATATTTGGAGGTGTTGATAAGGCTAAAGGAATGAATACTCAGGTTCACAGACACAATATAGGGGTTATTCCACACCTAGCATTTGAGGAGGTCCCATTTTCAGGTCAGGAGAGATGTGTTGCTGTTTGGGAACTAGCCAAGGAAACTTGTCTGTTCAGGTTCTTCTGTCTGACGAAGAAGCTGATGAGATGATCCAATACAAGTGATTGTAGTGTGCAAGAGCTCTGAATGTGTCCTTAGGAGAGGCCTTCTCTGACGAGTATTTGTATACAGTCAGAAGGAAGGAAGATAATTCAAGGTTATAGATAGTGTTAGTCATTTGGGTATGTGCTTTTCCAATGCTATTTTTTAATTCCTTTTGAAAAGAGATGTCTTTTTCCTACTAACACCTTGTACTTGATGTGCTTGTTTTGCATCTCTTATCTAAATTTAAGATAATTTTATTTCATTCAAGTCATTTTATTTTTGTATTTTTTCCTCTTGCAAATGGAAATAGGTTGTTAATCCTAGTGTGTGTACAGCTGCAAAGTATACTGCTTCTTCTGAGGTTTTATGTAACTTCAGTGACAGTGGTGCATGTTCTATGAGTTTGCCATGAGAGACAATAGCAACACACTTTTTCTTTTCCAGTTAACGTGCATCACCACTTCATGTGCCGTAGGTCTAACAGCGTGTGCATTGTTTTATACTGTTCTGTGGTGAATCCCACATACAACAATGCATTCAGTTGCTAGTTTGTGCACTAGAGAAATATTTTTTCTCTTTGTTACAGAATAAACCTTTTTTCACTTTCTGTATTCTTTCTAAAGTCCATGCAACATGTTTCACTGCCTCAGCAGTATTTTCATCATATAGAAGATAGAACTTTGCTTGTGTTAAGCACTTCTGGTTTTAGCTGACAAATGGGTAGATGCTGGGAATTGACAGATTAAGTAATCTTAATAGTTTTATGGACTTGTGCTACATTGGTTTCAGATTTGTAAACTTCTTCCAGAAAAGCTTTTATTATTACCTGTTTTTTTGATAAAATATTTGGCAGTCTCTGATATGGTCCTTGCTGCTTTGATCTACTCTGCTCATATTCTCAATGCTGCTGTTGTTATTCAACACCTTGGGAAGAGAAACTTTCTATTTTGCCTTTCAAAAATTATATATTTCTGTAAGTAGAAAAATATCACATGCTTTTTAATAAATGAGATGTATTTTTACATGATAACAGATAGCCTGGATGGAAGGTACACTGAATGGATGGGACATGGACTGAATGATAAAGAGCCTATGGTTCCTAGTCTCTGCTTTTCTGTATTCTGTTCTTAATAGTTTGTTTCAGTTTTCATCATTCCCTAGTGAAACCTCAATCTTTAACATTTGAGAATGTGTAACCAACACTCATTCATTTATAAATACAACACATTGTGTTTAGATGATTACCTGGGATGGAGAGCGTCACTGGATTCTCCTCTTTGTAATGTTAAAGCTGTTTCCTCCCTGATACAGCAGCGATGAACCATTGTTATCAGTGTCATGTATGGTGCCGGTCTTCAGCTGGCCTGGTGTCCAAGCTTTTCAAATTACATTTGTCATCAGTCACCAGAAAGATTCACCACAGTAAATCCATTTACTACAGATGTTTT